CTGGGGTGGGTTTGTCCCTTTGGGGTGGATTTGTTGCTCTGGGGTGGTTTTTCTTTTTGTCTCTCCGTTGCTGTGGTAGAACCGCCCGGTCTTTTGGGGTGGCCGGGCCAGAGAAACTTTCCGTTTGTGGCTCGGAGGCGAGAAAAGAAAGGGATGGGGGGGGGGGGGGGGGTTGGGGGGGGGGAAGAGGGGGTGTAGAAAATCCAGTTCGTCTTGAAGAAACTGAGCCTCATTTATTAAAGTGAGCGCTGGTTGTCGAGGTAATAGCAGACATAAGGTCCATCCTTTGTACGGGAGAGTAAACATGACAAATGGGGCAGAGCTTGGCGTGATTAAAGATGAAACAAGGATCCATCTTAGCCAAATCTGAAAACTACTATCTACAGCCTCCTTTTAATGGAAGAGAGGTGCAGCAGCGCGGCTCTGCTTTGTTGCAGCTGAGTCTCCCTCTGTTCCCCCTATAAATAAAGAGCACCCTCCTTCCTTCGCTTCTCGGAGCGTTCAAAACAAAAAAAAACAAACCAACAAAATTCTCCTGTGTTCCCTACACACACACGGACTCACACCCACAAACACACACTCCAAACATCCCGGGAATAGTTATAGGCTGCTGGCTGGTCCATGGGATCGGGTTTGAGATCCTCCTTGTGGGATCTGCAGGCTGGCGGAGGAGGAGCTGGAAGGGTTAGACCTGATCTTGGTATTTGGTAACTTGTGGTCTTTTTTCCATTTCATCCTCCTGTTCTGGAACCAGATTTTGATCTGGCGCTCGGAGAGGCACAGGGAGTGGGCGATCTCGACCCTGCGCCTCCGGGTGAGATAACGGTTATAGTGAAATTCCTTCTCCAGCTCCAGGACTTGCTGCCTGGTGTAGGCTGTGCGGGAGCGTTTCGGTTCCCCTCCTGAGTAATTGGGGTTTACTGAACAAACACAAAGGAGGGAAAAAAAAAAAAAAAAAAAAAAAAAAAAAGGGGGAAAAAAAACAAAAAAAAAGGAGGGGAAAAAAAAAAAGAGCAGAAGAATTACCGAGCTGTTCCTTTAACGGGTCCTTTCCCCCCTCAAAAAAAAAAAGAAAAAAGAAAAAAAAAAGCATCACACATTCTTTCGGTGGGGGGGATACACTAAAAAAAAAAAAAATACACGGCAAATCTTCTAAAAATATACCCACAACCTATCTGCGAATCTCCACCTCCATCCTCGTTGCTTGACGTGTATTCCTGTCTAAAGGTTTTTATAAGGTCCCCCAGACACATTTTCCGTGCCCTCTACGTGTGTATATACTCGTATATATACACACACCTCTACCAGAGCATCGCTCGGTTTGCCCCAAATCTTTTAAAGTTCCCCCCTACACGAGTGCAAACAGGCGAACACAGACGCTCCTATTTATTAAATATCGCCCAAAAAAAAAAAAAAAAAAAAAAAAAAAAGGGGGGATGGGAGGGGAAAGGAAAATAGTAAAAGTTTACTCAACCCGCCACTTAAATACAAATTACAAAAACATAAAACTTAACTTATGAAGATTCAACAGCCATAAAAAAAAAGTAGCCTGCAAGAAATTGGAGGAGGATGGTAACAGAGACTTCAAAGGCACATGGCCAAGCAGAGCAATAAAAATTTATGGAGGATGTAATTATACCGCTCTGCAAACAGGCGATCGTAAATCTCCACGAATGGTTATTTTACAACTGGTGCAATAAGATTTCTACAAGACTTTGAGGTGCTACTTAACTATAAAGCAAAGCCACTTTAGTTCACTTACCCGTGCTTACATGGACTTTTTTCATCCAGGGGTAAACTACCGGCTCTTTGCAAGAGGAATTGGAAGGGCTTTGGTTCAGAGAGTTTTGGCTGCAGGAGGGTGGCGGGCTGGGGGTGACCGGCTCGCAGGGCTGGTTTGGCTCCGAGAGGTGGCTCTGCAATCCGGCCGGAGGATGGACATGACCCCGGGGGGATAACACCGCTGCTTGGTGGCCGGAGCTCTGACAGGACGAGTAGAGCTGCTCCTTGCAGGCTGACCGCGGCTGGTACATCGCTTCATGTTGGAAAGTGCTCTCTCGCCTCTGGCTGCCGTAATATTCCGGCGAGTGATTGGGAAGGTAATCGCTGTGGGAATACTCTTCACAGGGTGGGAACTTGGGGTCCACATAGTTGGAGTTGATCAAAAACGAGCTCATGGCCATTAATTTCTTAGAATTGCACACACGAAAAAAAAATATATATCTCTCTCTCTCCTAAAATTTATTCCTGTCCCCCCCCCTTTCCTCGTTTTCCTGTTTCGTGGAACCCTCCTACTTACTGTCAAGTGAACAAAGTTGAGTCCATGTGACAGCGCGGGCCAATGGCGAGGGGCACGGCGAGCCCCGGATAAGGAAACCTGCCCAGCCCGGGCTCTCCCGGGGCCCCCCAGCATCCCCGGGGAGGTGGCCCGGGGGCTCCCGCTCCCCTCCGGCCGCCCCCGGCCCCGCCGGCCCCGGGCTCCGGCAGCGCCCCGTGGGCGAGCACCGACACCCCCCCTTGGGCCCACACCCCTCGGGGGTGTGTCCTGGCTCGGGGACCCGAAGGAAAGGGGAGGGTGGGAAAATAAAAATCCTTTTCCCTTCCCCCCACCCGCCGCCAAAAAAAAAAAAAAAAAAAAAAAAAGGATAATTAGGATATAAGGTAAAAATGATTTTTCGGGGGGGGGGTTGGCGGCGGCTCCCGAGCGCTGCCCCGGCACATGATCCATGGAGGCCCCCCCGGGCGGGGGCTGCATCTCATTCCCCGCGAAGGTGATACGGGAAGGGACATTGCGCCCCGAGCCTGGCAGAGATGAATAGGGCTGCTTTGGGATCGATAAGAAATTCATCAGCTAATTCGGGGTACCCGGGCTCCTAAATCACATTTAGCCGGGCTCCGAGATTGACTGTTTTCCCACGCACCGACGGAAAAAAGGAGCCCGTCCTCCGAGCAAGAAATCAAGGACTTGATGAACAATTACAAAAGCGAATTAGCCCAAGTCCTAATGCATCTTCGCCTCGCCCTTCTCGTAATAAAGACGCTTTAAAAGCCAGAGCGAACCAGCAGCCTTTCAAAAGCCACCCCTAATTCCTCAAATTCGCCTTTAGACCCGAAACGCGCCAGGAGCTCCTCACAAGCGGCAGGGAAGAAAGCCATAACATATATATATATATATATATATATATATTTGTTTCTCGGTGTCGGTGCTGAGATTACACAAATCAAAGCGATGGTGGGATCCCGGCTCTCGAATCGCAGCAATAACGCCCGCGCCCACCCCCCCCTTCCCCCATCCCCTTCGCCGCTCAGATTTTATCTCCAAGCGATGATAAAGTTTATCGCAGGAGCGCCCGAGTTGAGCTAAGGTCAAATCCAAAGTATTTCTTTTTAGCTATAAAGCGGTTTTCTGGTTAAGACCTTGTTTTCACCCCCCCTTATTTAGGGTTCTGGGGATGTGGGTGGCTTTTTTTGGGGGAGGAGGGGGATAATTCCTTCTGGGTTTGTGACCTGTAGTGTTTGTGTCAACTACATATTCCCCTAGATACGAATTTGTGACCCGACTTCCTTTACACAAATTCGGATCTACAGGGTACATATAGAAGACAGATGCGTCCTCCTCGGTCAGAGATCTTCTCCTACCGCCATAATTCTCTTCTGGGGCAGGGAGGGGGGAAAGTTTTGTGGCTCGAGAGATCAGGAATTAATCTATAGGTGAAGTCGGTTAAAATATTCACTCTTGAGAGGAAAGGCGATTAATTAAAGCACCAGCTCAGCACGCGAATAGCTGATACCAGGAGAGAAAAACTGGGAGTTTTCCACTCTCTCCTCCGTATCTTGTACTTTAATTTATCGCTGATCTAAAAAAAATCAGCTTCTGGACCGAATATTTGAGTGTAGACGCACAACGAGACTCGAATCCAAATGACGGCCTTTTAAAAGTAAAATGTCACAGTTCCGTCCCCACCTCACCCTGAAACCCTCGCAATTATTTTCTGATGCGCAACGCAAAGATTTAATCCATTTTTCGTTCTTAGAGGTCAACCAAGGTTTGGGTTTCTGGGTGCGAGTGCAGATAA